ACATATATACAGGCAAAACACTCATACACATAAAATGAAATAAATAAATAATGGAGGAAGAATCTGGCTCTGGGAATGCAGGGTCCCCACCCATTCCAGTCCTAACAGTGTTGTCTATACATAACTCCACTCCTTTGATAGCAGAGAGTACAAGCCTTTTGTATCTTTTATTCGTCTTTCATTTGGAGACCAGCTTCAAGCTCCAGACCTCTGCATTCCTGCTAAACAAGTGAGCAAAGGTGAAGTGTGCCTTGCCCGGCATGGTGGGGCACTTCTGTAATCCCAGCATTTGGGAGGCAGAGGCAGGAAGATCAGGAAGAGTTCAAGGTCACCCTCAGATCCATAGTATGTTTCAGGCCAGTCTGGACTATATGACACTCTAACAAAGACCAAAAAAAGTGATAATTGAAGAGAGGGGCTACCAAATGCACCTGCACGTGTCTGTTTCTCAAGCATTCACTTGCTATGAAGCTCCATCAGACTGGTTCCTATCAGTGTCATTATTTCTCCAGCAGACCTAGAAGGCCCCTGGCTAAATGGAGATAACCTGGACACCAAGTCTCCATGGACTCTTTGGAACAATTCAAACATACCACTATGACAGAGGCAGAGTAAACCTCTCAGGCATCAGAGAGAAGAGCCGTTTTCAGGACTCCACTGTTATAAGTAGTAGATTGAAGACATTAGAGCTGGACCCCTCCCTCATAATCAACTTAAAAAGCCAACAACTGGAATTGCAGGACTCTGACTACTGCCCAGAGGAACAGAGCTGACTCATTTCTTTCCCTGGGAAGGAAACAAGACATCCTGAACTGCCCAGATGACCATCTTAACCTGAGTTAAGCTGTTACCTGGGTTCTGGAAGCCCTAAGCCTTACAAGATTACTGTCTAGCAGGAAGATTTTTGATACAGAACCACAACATGTCTTTGCCCTTCCCTGTAAGAATCAATCCAAATGGGCCTGTAAGTCACCTGGAAAGGAAAAAGCCCCTCAGGCAAGCTGTTCTGACCTAGAGACTGTAGAAACAACATAAAGCCTTCCTAAAATGGAGATGGGCACCAGGTCTCTTTGGCCATTATCCACTCTCAGCCCTGAGGGTATTTTCTCTACTTAGTGTGTCTCATCTGAATTCTTTTAATGGCAACCACTGTGACTGGAAGGCTGAGGGGAATCCAGAGATATTCAGTGACACCATGCCTCAGAGGAAATATCATTTGGGTCATAATGCTCTGTGATCTTGGAATTCTTTTTCTTCTGTAAATTGCTTTGGTCAGTGTTTCTAGCACAGCAACAGAAAAGTGACTAATACAGTCTCTCGCGCACCCTGGAGTTCACTGATTCAGGTGGACTGAACAGCCAGCAAACTTCAGTTCTCCCCCAGTGCTGGGGTAGTAGGCATGCACCACCACATCCAGTTTTTCCACGTGGGTTCTGAGAATCCAAACTCAAGTCTTCACACTTATGCAGCAAGCGCTTTCCTGGCTAAGCCATCTCCCCAATCCTTTTTTTAATTATTTTAATTTTTTAATTTTATTTTATGTGTATGGGTGTTATGCCGGCATGTGTGTAGAGCACTGTGTTGTGCAGTGCCCACGGAGGACAGAAGAGGGTGTCCAATCCCCTGGAACTGGAGTTGGATGGTTGTTAGCTGCCATATGGGTACTGAGATTTGAACCCGGGTCTTTCTTCTACAAGAACAACCAGCCCCATCTTGGAATTCTTAATAATTTTAACCCTCAATTTGGGTTAAATGACTTCTGACAAGATGATAAAGTACATGCTGGGGGCTTTGTGCCTAGGCTCCAGCTTTCTGCTCTTTCTTGAGTGTCCCAGCTCAGTGTCCCTCAAACTAGTGTTCAGCTTTGAGGAGGAGAAAAGGAGATGTCAGCATACCTGTCCAGCAGCAGGATTCCAGGCACTTGGGAAGTCCACACTCACCCACTAAGTGTTTTAGATAAAACGATGTGATGCTAACCAGGCATGGTGGTGTACTCAAATCCTAGGACTTGAGATGTGGAGGCAGGAGGATCAGAAGCACAAGGCCAGCCTTAGTCACACAGTAAGATCCAAGACAGCCTGGGCTACATGAGACCCTGTTCCAAATAAATAGGAAAAAAGGTTGAAATTGATGACTTGATAACTGGAAAATGGCTACAATGCACTTGGATTATAACTTTTCTCTTTTGAGACAGAGTCTCACAATGTTGCTAAGATTGGGCCCAAATTGTTACTGGAATTCTGGATATCCCTTTATGGTCATGGGAAAACAGAATCCCTTTAGGGTGCTTAGTCTCCACCATAAACATTAAGAATCATAAAAATGAAGAATGGACTCAAAGGTTTAGGATGCTTTAGGACAATTTTATGAGTTTAAAGAAAAATCCATAGGGCAGGCAAACTGCAATCTCAGCAACTGCCTGAGGAGGAGAATGGAGGGGAGAAGAGAAAAAAGCCATAAATCCATGCCAGACCCAGCATGGATGTCAGACACATGTTGTACTAGTAGGTGCACACTGGGGAGGGGAAGGGAGCTTTTGAAAATTGTTGGGTGCCCAGAGGGTTAGGGAAAGGAAGGTCAGAAAAGAGGTGGAAAGAATTAAAAGAACGTTTTGTTGTTGTTGTTGTTGTTGTTGTAAGGATTCAGAAAAGTGGGAAGAATTACTGACAGCTACTTGTCTGTGGCCCCATCTATAAGCAATGGACTGGGCTGGGATTCCAGGCAAGAAAAGTTTACCATCTCATTAACGCATTAAGAATTCTGCCCATTTCTTTAACATGACTTAAGGTGAACCTATCTTGTAGGTCCCATGCCAGGTGACTGACCCAGTCAAACTGGAACTTGAGACTCCATTCGGGCCAGAGAATCTCATTTTCTTGACCAGTTTTCTCTTATGGGGCCTTTTTTGCTACTGTTATCTTCCTGTCTTGGCCTCTGTACCTGGAACTACAGGTGACACTAGCTGTGCCAGGCTATAGGAAATCAAGGCTGGGGGGCCAGTGTATGTGTAGACAGCAAGCACTGATATGGATTTCTGGCATGGGTCAAAATAGGTAACACTAGACATTCAGAGGGCTAGGAGTCAGCACAAAATGGCTGACACCAGATGTCCAGGGATCCCAAAATTAAATAATGGTATAATCTATTATATAACCAGTTTTGGCAAGAAGTCACCTTTATGAGATTTTCTATTAAGAAAAATCTTTGGAACCAGGGAACATGCACTCTTGCCTGGGATCCACCTGCCCAGCAGCTTGTGTGCCCTTGCCTGAAGAAAATAAAACATGTTATATTTGCCAGTAGCTCCATAAATCTTAATTTCCAGCTCCTTACAGCCCTCTCTCCCAGAGCCAAATTCAGCCTCCACATCAGCTAGGAATATAACTTTCAAAAGGCCTTTTCTGTCTTCCTGAGACTTGTACTAATCAGGGCTTAATATAAAGCTCAGCACATATCATGCCATTAAACATTTATTAACTCGATATGTTTTTGTTTTAATCTAGCAGAAGTAGTTTGTTGTTGTTGTTGTTGTTGTTGTTCTTTTTGAGACAGGGTCTCCCTGTAGCCCCAGCTGTCCTGGAACTCACTATGTAGACCAGGATGGCCTTGAACTCACAGAGATCTGCCTGCCTTTGCTTCCCAAGTGCTGGGATTAAAGGCGTGCACAACCACGCCTGGCTTGTTGTTGTTTTTAATGGGTCAATCTAAACATCCTGGGATATCTAGTTAGGTAAGTATGACAGTTTTTACAATAAGAGACTACATGCACTTGTGTAAAGTAACAAGGATGTTATTTAGATGCTGATAAGAAGAGAGATACAAGATAAATGTTACAATTTATGTTCTGTTTTGTTTTCATTAAGGAAAGGGTGGGGTTGGAGAGATGGCTCAGCAGTTAAAAGCACTGACTGCTCTTCCAGAGGATCTAGGTTCCTTCCCAGCACTCACATGGCAGCTAACAACTGTCCCTAACATCAGTTCTAGAGGATCCAATGTTCTCTTCTGGTATCCATGGGCATTACATGGCTCAGGTGCACTTACATAGATGCAGGCAAGACACTTATCACTCATACACATAAAATAAAAATAAATAAATAAGGAGCTAGAGAGATGACTCCATGGTTAAGAACACTGGCTGCTCTTGCAGAGGACCTGGATTCAATTCCCGGCACCCACAAGGAAGCTAACAACCATCTGTAACTCCAGTTCTAGGGAATCCGCCACCCTCTTCTGACGTCCTTGAGCATTGCATGACATGGGTACACCTACACTCATGCAAGCAATACACTCATACACGTAAAATAAAAAGATAAAATATTAAAAAATAAATAAAAGAGGAGAGAAAGAAAGGAAGGAAAGAAAGAAAGAAAGAAAGAAAGAAGAAAGAAAGGAAAGAAAGAAAGAAAGAAAGAAAGAAAGAAAGAAAGAAAGAAAGAAAGAAAGAAAGAAAGAAAGGGAAAGAAAGATTGAGCGAGTAAGTCGGGGTCTGTGAGATGGTTCACAGGTGGAAGCACTTTCTGCACTGCACAAACCTGATCACCTGAGTTCAATCCCTGGATAAAGGTGGAAGGAGAGAGCCAACCCCACAAAGTTGTCCTCTGACCTCCACATGTATTCTGTGGCATGTACACACACACCACACACACACACACACACACACACACACACGTAGGCAATGCACTCAAACACATAAAATTAATAAAATATTTTTTTAAAACACAATAGACATAGCAAGTCAAAGCCGATTGCTTTTTTCTTTTTTATGAGTCAACAGTAATTACTCTTCCCTGGCTAGTTCTTAGGGGTGAGATGGATTGAAGACACCTCATGGATTCCATAAACAAGTCCCTCTGACCTCTACTGGCCAGCCCCTACACACCCTCTACAAGGCTGGGTCTTGGGGGGGGGGGCGGGGAGGCAGGCCCAGTACCAGGCAGCCACTGCCGCTGCTCCTCAGGGGGCAGGGAAGGCAAACCCTGGTCATCCCTAGTCTGTAGGCCTTTTGTGTAGGAAAGGGTGACGTGGGGCTGTTCCTCTGGGTACAGCTGTGGCAGTGCCCTCTCAGATTCTCCCTTCAGATTTCTCAGGGTAGTAGACATGCAGCCCAAGGGCCTCTGCTTGGCTTGACCCAGCTGTGGGGACTCTGTCCCCAGAGACCATGAAGATGGAGGGTTTATGGAGGTCTTCTCTGCCCAGCTGCCTCCTCCTCCTGCTCTTCCTCCTCCGGCTGTCTTCTAGCTACGCAGGTAAGTGTGTTTATTCCTGCCCTGCAGAGACCTAAGAACAGAAAAGGGGGTGTCCAGGGCTCCAGTCCTTCAATCACCTTCAAATGACTATAAGAATGGCCTGTTTTTACTTAGATCTGCTGGCATGTTTTCTGCCTTAGAGACCTTCCTGGCTTCCTGCAGAAGGGATACTAAACCTTTTCCCACACTATGGTGCTGGGGATCAAACCCTGCCCTGTGCAAGCTCAGTGCATGCTCTCCCATTGAGATATATCTACAGCCCTGGTTCTGGCTTTTCACTTTTCAAATGGGGACAAAATAGCTTCTTGGAGTTGCTCTCGGAGTTAAATGAGAGGGAAGTGCCCTCCCTTTTGTGGCAAATCTCAATAAATGTTTGTTGAGGGCCAGTGAGATGGCTCAGTGGTAAAGGCACCTGCCTCTAAGCCTGATGACCTGAGTTTGATGCCAGGGACCCACATGGTAGAAGGGTGAAAAATGACTCCTGAGGATGGTCCTCTGATTTCCCTCCACACACCTGCTGTGTGTGAGGACCATCCTTAGGAGTCACGCTCATGGGAGCACACACAGACACACACAGACACACACACACGTACACAATTTTTTTCCTAATTTTCTTTTTTTGTTTTTGATTTTATTAATTTTTATTTTATGTGTATGTTTTGCCTACATGTAAGTGTACCACGTGTGTGCAGTTCCCCATGGAGGCCAGAAGAAGGCGTTGATCCCCTGGAACTAGAGCTATGGAAAGTTGTTAGCTACCATGAGGATGCTAGGAACCGAACCCAGGTCTTCTGCAAAAGCAGCAAGTGCTTTGGACTGCTGAGCCATCTCTCCAGCCCCCAAACAATTTTTTTTTTTTAAGTTTTGAGTTATTTCCAGCACTTTCTAGGCAGAGACAAGCAGATCTCTGTGAGTTTGAGGCCAGTTTGGTTTACATGGTGAGTTCTAGGGCAGCCACAGCTGGATAGTAAGATCCTGTCTCAAACCCACCTTGCCGCTGCGCCCCCCGCCCCCACACACTGAAAAAAATGAGTTATGCTATCTTGTTATGTTTGAGAACTTGCTCTGGAAATTCAGGTAGCAATAAAATTTTATAAGGGAGTCATGTGAAGGAGAAATAAAAGAGCAGAAGCCAGAGTCCTACTTCAGGGAGCCCTCTGATCGGTAGAGGCCCAGCCCATGCACCACCTAGGGACACCCAAGTCTAAAGGAGAACACAACCTTGCCTGCCAGATAGTCTCTTTGGGGAGATGTTCAGAGCAGGATCCAGAGCTGCTGTGAGGCAGGAAGTACAGATGACAGAGTGAAGCAGCCACCCCCCAGATTGGATGATCCAGAGAGGACGAGAGAGCAGGGTGTGAGGACGGAGGCTGGGAAGTGAGGAGAGGCAGTAGGCCTCGTTCCATGGTGGAGGCAAAGACTGAGCTGAAGAGTCAGAGACAAATGCAGCTTGTGGAAAGGTAGAAGCCACTGTCAAGATCTCACACTAGGATGTTCTGTCCCGGACATTGAGAACACATCTTTAACTAGAGACTGTCTATTTTGTATATGTTCAAAGTAAAAGAATGAGCTTCACCCAAGCTCCTGAATTCCATTTAAAAAATGGCTGGTCTAAGCCTGGTGTGGTGGTGAACCCTGTAACCACAGCACTTGGAAGGTAGGAGCAGGAGGATCTGGAGTTCAAGTCATCCTCAGCTACATGGCAAATTTAAAGCCAGTGTGGGCTACATGAGACCCCGTCTCAAAAGGCAGCAGAGGATCTCAAAAGGGGGACGACCACGACTGGCTTAGTGATTGAGAGTGCTTGCTGCTCTTGCAGTTTGGTTCCCGACACCCATATCCCTGGGGTGGCTCATAACTACCTGTAACTCTAGCTCCAGAGGATCCCCCCACCTCCTCTTCTGGACTCTGCAGGCAGCTATACACATGTGGTATACACTCATACAGACACAGACACATATACATGAATAAAAATAAATTTAAAAATAATTGAGGGTCAGGTGTGGTGACATAGGCCTTTAATCCTAGCATTTGGGAGGCAGAGGCAGGCAGATCTCTGAGTTTGAGGCCAGCCTGGTCTACTTACCCAGGTTCAGGGCAGCCAGAGCTACATGGTGAGATCTTGTCTCAAAAAAATTGAAATAAAACAAAACCAAAAAAGATTTGAGTGTCCTAAGCTGGGGATGGGGCACACACCTGTAACCTCAGCTCTTAAAAGGCTAAGGCAGGGGCTGGAGAGATGGCTCAGCAGTTAAGAACACTGACTGTTCTTGCAGAAGACCCAAGTTCAAATCCCAGCACCCACAGGGCAGCTAACAACTGTCCCTAGCTCCAGGGGATCTGACGGCCTCTTCTGTCTTCCATGGGCATTGCGCCACACGGGGTGCACTTACCTACATGCAGGCAATACATGCATACACATAAAATAAAGGCTAAGGCAGGAGGATTGCTGTGAGTTCAAGGCCAGCCTGAGCTATAGAGCAAGAACCTATCTCAAAAATAAATAGGGAATAGAGAGACGGCTCAGTGGTTAAGATCATGTACTGACCTAGCGGAAGACAGTTTCCAGCACCCACTTAGATGGGGTGAACTCACAGCAGTCTGTAACTCCAGGGGCACCTGAAGCTTCTAGCCTCCAAGGGCACTTGCATTCATATGCATGTACTCCCCACACATAATTGAAAAGAAAATAGATTTTAAATAGAGAAATAAAATTGAGGTTCTCACGCCCCGCCTCCTCCCCGTTTTGAAGCAGCTTTCCCATGATGCATTTGTCACGGCTCCCTTCGACTCTTGGTTTCTCCTCTTTGTTGTCTTGGACAGGACAGTTCAGAGTGATAGGCCCAGGGTACCCCATCCGGGCTCTGGTTGGAGATGAAGCGCAGCTGCCCTGTCGCATATCTCCTGGGAAGAATGCCAGTGGGATGGAGGTGGGGTGGTACCGTCCCCCCTTCTCTAGGGTGGTTCATCTCTACCGAAATGGCAAGGACCAAGATGTGGAGCAGGCACCTGAATATCGAGGTCGCACAGAGCTGCTGAAGGATGCCATTAGTGAGGGAAAGGTGACCCTCAGGATCCGGAACGTGAGGTTCTCAGATGAAGGAGGCTTCACCTGCTTCTTCCGGGACCACTCTTACCAGGAGGAGGCCGCGGTGGAATTGAAAGTGGAGGGTGAGTCAGGCATGGCACGTGAGGTATGACCTTAGGGCTGGCGGACCTCCCCTTCAGCCCTCACTCATGCCTGGGACCAATTCCAAGGCAATAGACATATCAGTAAATAAGGACACCTGTGTTGTGGCCACCTATCGCTTCATTGTTTGGATGGAGAAAAAAATTGGAATCAAAGTCAGGGTTCATGCATAAGAAAGTAACTAAAAATGGCATCCAACTCAGGAATACTCTGCAGCCTAAGCTGTTTTTCTCAGTACTAGAGACTGAGCCTAGAGCCCTGTGAATGTATGCCGAACAAGGGGTTTAACACCTCAGCCTTTGTTTTTTGTTTTTTTTAAATTATGAGATAGGTCCTCACCAAATTGCCCAGGCTGACCTTGAACTCAGGCGATCCTCCAGCCTCAGCCTCTAGAATGCTGAGACTAAAATCATGAGTCACCATGCTCAGCTTAAAATAATCGCTTTAGAACCATATCAGATAGTAGGTACTTTGCATGAGAAATTGCTGAATGGTATAAGCAAACCACAGAATGTAGGGATCAAAAACAGGACTGTGAGTGTGTGTATGCATGTGTGTGTGTGTGCGTGTGTGCGTGCATGTGTGTGTGTACATGGGGGGGGGTAGGGATGTAGTTCACTTGGTAGAGTGCTTACCTAGCTTAGAAGCCCTGGGTTCCATCCCCAGCACTGCATAAACTGCTCATAGTGGCTCAAGTTTGTAGTCCTAGGAAGTCAAGAGCAGGAGGACGAGTCAGACGGAGGCCAACCTGGGCTACATGAGACTCTCAGAGAGAGAGAGAGGAGAGAGAGAGAGAGAGAGAGACTGGAGAGAGATGGCTCAGGGGTTAAGAGTCGTTGCTGCTCTTGAGAACAGGAGTTTCATTTCCAGCACCCTTGGAACTCCAGCACCAGGGGACCTGACACCCTCTTCTGTCCTCTGAGGTCACCCACACATACCCACATGCAGACCTACACATAAATAAAAGTTAAAAAAAAAAAAACCAACCAAGAAGCTGTGCTTCAACTTCTTTAATTCTCTAGTTCTTCACTTTCCGTGAGCATTATGTGATGGCTGATTTTGGAAGAGTTATTTATAATTTGTCCTTTCTCAGAGTGGAGATAGGGAGCTTTGAAAGTTAATTGCTATGTAATTGAAGAACAAAAGTGTTCTGAATGGTTGAACCTCGGATCCTTTCCCTTCCTCCTCACCACGTGCTGAGAGAACATCAAGACAATTCATCACTTTTGTTATCTGAGGTGGGAGTGACTGTGGCCTTGTCCGGACCAGAAGACGCATTGTGTATCCAACAACAAAGCGTTGTTTCTAGAGTACATAGTAAGGTTTTGGAAAAAAAAAAAAAAAAAAAAAAAAAAAAAAAAAAAAAAGCTGTGTGTCACAGAACGTTGTTCACACAGCTGTTTTCACTGGGGTATTTTTACCACAAAGAAGTCAGAGGACTTCAGCATACAGATTTCCCTCTTTCTGCTAAGCAAATTCCTAGTTCCACAACTGCCACTCCAGCTGCTCACAGAGGAGAGCCAAGCTAAAACCTTTGCCTAAGGGGAGAAAGTTTTCCTTTGAATTGGTTTCCACATTCCAACCCCCTCCATTCATCTCCAGATTTTGCCTGAGGGAGGTAAGGAGGAGGGAGGAAGGGCGAGAGTTGCATCCCCAGCAGCTGCATAAAATCTTCAGAGTGGTAGCCCAGGCCTGTGATTCCAGCACTTGGGAGGCAGAGGCAGAAGAGGAGTTCAAGGTCACTTGAGACCCTATTTCAAAAAACCTACGGCTCCCAGCACTTGGGAGGCAGAAGCAGGCAGATAATTGTGAGTTCCAGGCCAGCCATGGCTACAATAGTGAGACCTTGTTTCAATCCCCTGCTTCAAACAAAACCAAAAATAATCAATGGCTGCTATCCCTTTCTGAAAACAAGCCCACTTCACTATCAAGGATAAAGCTAAGCTAATCTGTCAATTCTGTGTCACCTCCCCTGCCCGTGTCTTTGGAGATAGGTCTTGCAGGCTGGCCTGAAACTCTTGATGACACCCCCTCCCCTCATCTCAGCCTCTTGAATGCTGGATTACAGGCTTGTGCTACCTTGCCTGGGTACATCGCCATATTTAATCTTGGTGACATTCATTCCCTTATTCAACCCCAGGCTCTGTGCAGGGTGTTAGGGAAGCAGGCTGGGCCAAGTCACTTCTGCCTTTCAGATCCCTTCTACTGGATCAATCCTGGGGTGCTGGTTCTCATCGCGGTGCTGCCTGTGCTCCTCCTGCAGATCACTGTGGGCCTCCTCTTCCTCTTCCTGCAGCACAGATTGAGAGGTAGGGGCAGCTGCTGGATCCATCAGCATCCTTCCTGGTCCTTGGAGCTAGCCTTTGTTTTTAAGATATGAGTTCAGAACTCCATAACAAAATTTACTGACTGCTTTCATACTGATAGTAGAACCTGAGGCATGAGGGACATACAACAGTCTCATAATAGAGACATCAAGGGAGTCCAGGAGTGGTTCAGTGACTTGTTCAAGTGATATGTTGTAAGTGGTAGAGCTCAGCTCTCTACAGTCCCTAGAAGCTTCATGAAACTCAGAGAGTGGGTTCTTCAAAGTCAGCCAGGCATTAAATTTTTTTTAAACTTTAAAATTTATTTTTATTTGTGCGTGCCTTGTTTGTCTGTTGTGTGCACCATGTGTACGTGCAGGTGCCTACAGAGGCCAGAAGAGAGCATCAGATCCCTGGAACTGTTATTATAGATGGTTCTGAGTTGCCAGATGTGGATGCTCAGACTCAAACCTAGGTCCACTGCAAATGCTCTTAACCACTGAGCCATCTCTCCAGTTCCACTACTTGGCATTTTAGTATGGATTCTGAAATCAAAGCCTTGCCACACAGTATGTGTTCAAAACCATTTCCTGACTTTTCCATTGAACTGTGGAGTCGGGTTCAGCACCCCCATCCCAGACTGTGTCCTTCCCAGTGCCAGAGCACAAGGACTCACATATCCACCTCCTCCTACTACTAGGAGGATAAAGCAGGCAGGAGGGTTGGGACATGTGAGGGGGACTGGTGTTACGTCAACAATGGTCCTGCCTTGTGCACCACACCAACTGCTCCACACCAAGCTGCAGCCTCAGCCCCACAATGGAATGTCCTCTTTCACCTTGAATTCATCCCAGATTCTTGGTTACCTGCTCCTCAGCCACCATGGCTGAACAGAACCAGGAAGATAGAGCTGGGCAGCCTAGGGTCCAATTCCATTGTAGACACTGAACCATGAGGAAAATTCTGAGGTCCTTGGAGTTTCTGTTGCCCTCTGTTTAATAGAGATAACATTCTTAAACTGTGGGAAGCTTACAGGGGATAATGCCCTGGGAAGTGCTAGTGTAGAAACCAGTTACTAAGTAGTTCTCAGGAATTGTCTAGTTCCTCCCCACTCAGTGACAGTTGTCAGGGTGGAGTGGCCATGTGGACTGGGAACTAAAAGGAGCTAGGAGTACTGGGAGAGATAATAGCACCTTATAATAGAGGATGAAATGGCTCTGGGGTTAAGAGTACATACTGATCTTAGACAAGATCCAGGTTCTGTTCCCAGCACACGTGTCAGGTGGCTCATGACCGCCTATCACTCCAAGAGACCTGTCTTCAGAACTCTGCAGGCACACATATATACATGTAATTTAAAAAATAAACTGGGTGTGGTGGCACATGCCTTTAATTCCAGCACTCCAGCAGCAGAGGCAGGTGGATCTCAACGAGATCCAGGCCAGTCTAGTGAGTTCTAGGTTAGTCAGGGCTACATAGTGAGACCATCTCAAATAAATAAAATAAAATAAAACTTACAGGGTTTGAAGCATTGCTGGTTCCTGAGGGCCAGTCCTGAAGACTTCAATTTTTTTAATTTTTTATTTTATGTGTATGAGTGTTTTGCCTGCATGTATATAAGTGCACCTGTGCCTGCAATGCGCAGAGGCAAGAAGAGGGTGTCAGATTCCCTGGAACTGGAGTTGCAGATGGTTATTTACCACGTGTGTGCTGGGAGCCCAACCCAGGTCTTCTGAGAAGCAGTGCTCTTAACCGTTGAGCCATCTCTCCAGCCCCAACTTTCATCTTTTGAGAGCTTATTTGAAGGTTTTAGCTGGAATGTGCATCTATTTGGGTGCCCTTGACCGAAGAACTGTGGGTCCCACTTGCTAGGTGGTCTTCCCCTTCAGCCACAGGAGTGGCTTTGCCAGGGCACACACATGGAGCTGTGAGGAAGGACCGGAACTCCCGCCTAGCCAGCTAGATCAGCAATTAACCTTGGCAATCAATGGGATGACAGAACAGAATTCCAGAGCAGCTCACATCCAGGCTCTGGTATTCTTTATTCCATCACTTAATTCTGACAGTAGCCACAAAGAGAGACTAGACTCCCCTAGAGCTCTTCCGGCCCTCCAGAGAATGCCCCCAGGCTGCAGAGAAATTGCCTGAGCAAAGGTCCAGGGTCCTGGGTATGGAAGGGTCCCTAGGTGATATCACACCAGGAACTAAAAAACTGTCTTTTTCTATTTTAGGAAAACTCCGCGCAGAGATCGGTGAGTTCCAGGCACCCTCCCTCCCAATCCTCCTGTGATATTTCATCATGACCAAAATGGCCTTTTCCTCAACCAGTTCTGTCTCTCCCTTCAGTGGGGAACTTTGATATTTAAAACTGTAACCAGCTAAGAATTGGAAATCTCACTGCTTTTCCACAAGTTCAGTCAGTTTAGAAGTAAAATTTTACACTGTGCTTTACTGTCAGGACAAGAAACAGCTTTAAGTGATTAAAAAGATTCGGGGAGGGGCTATCAAGATGGCTCAGTGGTTAAGAGCATTAACTGCTCTTACAGAGGACCCGGGTTCAATTCCCAGCACCCACATGGCAGCCATGAGCTGTCCTTAACTCCAGTTCCAGGGGAATCTGAAGCCCTTTTCTGACCTCTGTGGCATTGCATGACATGGGTGCACTCACATATATGCAGGCAATACACTCATACATATAAAATAAAAATAATATATTTTTTTAAAAAAGGATTCAGGGAACAGGAAGTGGGGGCACATGCTTGTAATCCCAGCACTTGGAAGGCAGAGGCAGGAGGTATCTCTGTGAGTTCCAGGCCAGTCTGGTCTGCATAGCGAGTTCCAGAGCTACATAGTGAGACCCTGTCTCAAAAAATTAAAAAAATACAAAAAATCCCTTTGAATGCTTTCCTGAATCCATTTCTATTTGTTCCTCTTTCAGAGAATCTCCATCGGACTTTTGGTAAGTGAAGGCATACCCCAGTCCTCCCAGGTCAAGATGGCATTTGATGCACATTCCAGTGTTGGGGAGAACAAGGGCTGTTGGCTCCTTGAAGACACCCTCCACCCTTTTTCTTTGCATTTAAGATTAGTAGGGTATCAGTAGGATGATAGCAAACACTTTGTACTGCATTCATGTGTCAGGCACTACACCTGTTTCACAAATGTTAACTCCTTATATACATTTTTTTTTTTTTTACAAATTATAAAAGGTAAATGAACAGATCTTTGAACAGGACACACACATGCACATGTTTTCTACTGGGGCTGGAGAGACAGCTCTGTAGTTAAGAGCACTTGCTGCTCTTCCAGAGTTCCCCACCCTCTTCTGGTCTCTGAGGGCATCAGCACACACAAGACATACATATACACACACAAAATTGAGCTAGGTATGGTGGCCCACACCTTTAATCCTAGCACTTGAGAGGCAGAAGCAGGCAGATCTCTATGAGGTTGAGGCCATCTTGGTCTACATAGCAAGTTCCAGACCAGCTGGAGCTACAGAGAAACTGTCTTTTAAAAAATTTTGAGACAGGTTTCACTAACTAGAGCAGACTGGCTTCAAACTCAGATCTGTCTGCCTTTGCTTCCCGAATACTGGAATTAAAGGCATGTGCCACCACGCCTGTCGAAAACAATTTTTTTTTAAAAAGCCATCTACTACACTCACAAGCAGAGTATGTTTTCATGAGTAAGTACATGACTCACCGGGACACTTCTGATGAAAAGTAATGCCCCACTAGCATATTTTCTCCTGTACTTTGAAACAGGGTCTCACATAGCTCAGGCTGGCCTGGAACTTCTGATCCTCCTGCCTCTACCTCCCAGAATCCTGATCCCTCAAGAATAGCCTGCATTTTCTTCACTTCAGGTTGGCCAGTACCTATGGACACCACCAATAACAGAGTTTGAATAAATCTTATAGAAACTGGAAGACAGCACTCATCAGAGCACAGGAAGTCCTTGCTCTGAACGATCTTCATAAGTAGCTTTTCTGAGGTTACCAAGGGTAACCTTTTTCAGTTCTCCTGGTACTGACACACCCAAGGGTTCCACTGCAGCATGACATCGGGCCTGGGTACAGACGTCACACATAAGTCTTTGAACATCCAAAGAAAAACAGAATATTACATTGGAGGGAGTGGGAAATTCGCAGGGGTATGTAGGCATTCACCTTGGTCAGTGGAAACTTGGAGTCCCTTCTCTTCTACCACGTGGGTCCTGGAATCCAACTCGGGTCTTCAAGCTTAGAGGTAAGCACCTTCAGCCACTAAGCTATGCCAACCGCTCTATTCATTTTTGAGTCAGAGTCTCATGTGTCCCAAGCTGACCTCAATCTTGTTACTTAGCTAAAGATAACCTTGAACTTCTGATCCTACCCCCATCTCCCATGTTCTGGGATCACTGATGAGGGCCACCGAGCCTGTTTTATGCAGTGCTAGAGACTGAACCCAGGGCTTCCTTTATAGTAAGCAAGTACTCTATAAATCGAGGTACATTCTCAATACGCTTTAAGATTTCAATATCAAAGGTCTTAATTTTTGTATCATTAAGTCATGAACACTGTTGGTGCTGATGCTGTGTTTAAAATTCTGAGGATTGAACCTAGGGCCCCCTCACATGTCAGACATGCACCCTACTGGACCACATTCCTAGCTGTTGCATATATACACATACATATATATTTTGAGACACCTTGTTTTCCCAGTTGGCTTGGAATTTGCTATGTAGACCAAGCTGGCCTCAATCTCAGAGGCCTGTCTGCTGCTGCCTCCCAAGTACTGGGATTAAACGCATGTCACCATGACCAGCTCATGTTTTGAGACAGGGTCTTACTATGCAGTTTTTGGCATTAAGTAGACCAGGTTGTCCTCAAACTCACAAGAGATCCACCTGCTGGGATTAAAGGGGTGCATCACCACGTCTGGCATTGTTTATATTTTAAGAAAGTGTTAGGGCTAGCCAGACTGATCAACTGTAATCCCAACACCTGGGAAGCTGAGGCAGGATTGCCAGAAATTCTAGGCAAGACTCCATCTCAAAAAAAAAAAAAAAAAAAAAAAAAAAAAAAAAATCAAAATGGGCATAGTAGTACACATTTAATTTCAGCACTTGGGCGGCGGAGGCAGGCAGATCTGAATTTGAGGCTAGCCTAATCCACAGTGAGTTGCAGGCCAGCCAGGGCTATACAATGAAACCCTGTCTCAAAAAAACAAAAAATGCTAATTAACGGAACAAGGGAGGGCTAATGGGTCACTGAAGATGAGTAGCACATGAAAATATGAAACACTTTGTATGCCAAATTAGCAAAAAAGCAAAAGTTAAATTCAACTAGAGTTTAATGAAAGTAAAGATATGGTACATCTCATTCAAGTACAAGGACTTTAGATTGTCCCCAGAGTCCTTTGGAGCTCTTGGACTTCAGGTTAAGGAGGCTGGTGTGGCATGAAGTTAGTAAACAACTCTGTTCTACTGAACCCTTCAGATCCTCACTTCCTTAGAGTGCCCTGCTGGAAGATAACCCTGTTTGCAGTCGTGCCTGTCCTCGGACCCCTGGTTGCCTTGATCATCTGCTACAACTGGCTGCATCGAAGATTGGCAGGTGCAGTGTCAGGGCCACAAACAGGGCACTAAGCAGTGGGGTCCTCAGACAGCTGAGTGAGAAACAGCAGAGCCAGGGCCCCAGAGTCTAGAGCTGGATTATCTTCCGTGAAAGGTGTGTCGGGGGGGTCCCCAGTGGAAAGGGAAGGTTGTTTACTCAACTGTTCAGGGGGAGTATGAGGGAGGGGGAGGTAGGAACCTCCCACACTGATCACCCATATACTCATTTCTCTTTGCAGGACAGTTTCTTGAAGAACTAAGTAAGTTATTTTATTTTCCCCTTCTGACAAGGTCTCACTACACAGTCCTGGAACTCACTATGTAGACTAGGCTAGTCTGGAACTAGTGGCAATCCCCCCCGCTCTTGCCTTCGAAGTGCTGGGATCATAGGCCTGTGGTACCACTCCCAGACTGTCTCTTCTAAACAGAAAGCCAGCATAGGCAGAAGGCTACTGAGAGATCCCAGGCCCGGGAGGGGCTGAGCTCGTAGCTCCAAGGACTCCAGAGAGGAGGAGGGAAGAGCTGTTGAAGTTTTCAGGTGCTAGAGTGGCTGCTCCCAGCTGACTTGCTATCCTTGGTAGGGACTGCACTCCTTCAGCCTCCTCTGCTCTTCTCTACAGCAGCTGTCCTGCACCTTGCCTCCAAGACCAGCCAGGGGTGGGGTGCAGACAGGATTCCAGGGAGCTTTCCATGTCCTAGGCTCAATGGTTTCATGATAGAAACACCATCAGATTTTTCATGTCGTCTCTCTTCTAGGAAACCCCTTTTGAGCATCAGTATATCTTCCCGGAGTGGAGACACAGGTCCCTGAAGCGGTCTCTCGCTGGCTTCTTCCCTATGGACACATGCCAAAACGCGATCCGGAAACACTGAGTCCAAACATTTGCTCTCTCCAGCTCTCCTCCTTTCCTTAGCTCCCCTTCCTTTCCCAGTTTTTGCCTCATCTCTTTACTCCTCTCTCATTAGGAAGCCTTCTGTGGCTCAGCCCAGGCGGTCTTTCTACCAGAAGACACCTGTGTACCAAAGTCATATGGAGAAGAAGGCCTCAGCCACAAACAGCAGTTCCAGAACCTCATGACAAAATTACAGTATACAAACCCTGCAGATGGTAGATGTTTCTTCCAAGATCCCAGCCCTGACTGGGCAGAACAGTGGTGTGGGGAGTTGAAAGACAGGGACAGATGAGCCCACAGTATTGGGGAAGCTATTGAGCTGAAGAGTATGGGGCGCTCTAACCAAAACCATCTTACTCAACGATTACTACTTGATGGTCTATCAGACACAAACAAGCTGGGTGCTAATTACACAAGTCTCCGTGTGCATAAATTACCTTGCTTTGTATTTTCCCTGCATCCACTCACCTCTATTCTACTCACGCCTCCTGAACCCAGAGGCCAGTCCCTCAGAAAAACCAAATACAAAGACCTTAGTCAGACGGGCCCCCTTTTTAAACTTACATTGTGTGTGTGTACAAATGTGGAGGTCAGGGGTCAGTGTTCGTCCACCGTGTTTCCCTTGTCTTCCTGGGATGCTACTTTTCCATCCTTGCCCTCCCCTGAGGATTCGTCCATGTTTCCAGCCCTTTGCAGTGTCAAGGGATCATAAAAATAGCCAACCAAATAACCCAGGGCTTCCCAGCATTTGGGGGGCTTGCCTACATCCTGCGCCTTCCTTTTATTCCCCAAGTGACCCAGAAGGGCTTCCTTCCCTTCAAAGCAGACGTCACAGACCGGGCAACAATAGATCTTCTCCTTCCAGTGGATCTGCTGGTGTTGGGCCAGTATGAAGGAGGAGCTGAAACACTCACCACAACAGAAGCAGTGGTAGGGCTGCTCTGTGAAGTGGACCTTCTGGTGGCTGGAGAGATAAGTCTTCTTGATAAAAGTCAGGGGACAAAGGGGACAAGAGAACACCTTGCGCCTTGCGCGCCTCACCAGAGGAGGGTTGGCTCTGCTATCCACGGCTCTGCTGTTAGGTGCCTTGGTCCTGACCACTGCTCTATGGGTCGCATCCACAGGCCTCTGGATGGGCTGCTGGCGTCTGAAGCTGGGGGCTGGGAATCCTGCTGTGGCTGGAATCTTCCCAGTACTCGCCTGGTTTCCAAGCACTGGCCCCTTTTTTTGGTGTATCTTCTGGTGGCGTTTGACCTCAGACCGATCCCGGAAGCGCTTTCCGCACACAGGGCATGAGTGGGGCCTGTAATTCATATGAGCACGCCGGTGACGGCTCAGTCCAGAAGCATCACGGTATGTCTTGCTGCAGAGGGAGCAATGGAAAGGCCTCTCGCCGCCGCCATGTGAGTCCTTCTGGCTAACGCCCTTCCTCGTGGCAGTGTGCTTGGGGCTGGAAGCCGGCTGGCGGCTAGGGAGTTGGGCATTCTTTCTTAGACGTCTGCCATGGATCTGGCTGGAAGAGGGTAATCCAGCTTGGGACGCCCCTCTGGAAGGAAGGGGCGCCTTCCCTTCATCTCTAGGCTCCTCACTTTTCAGATTCTGACCTGGTTCTTGAGGCATCTTCCTATCTCCTGTAGTGAGGGAAAAAATATATACTGATGGCCAGGACACTGTGGCCAAGACAAGGTTTCTCCAGAACAGTCATTTCCCGTCCCATCCTGTCCAACTCAGTACATTCACCCTTGGACGGCATAGGCTAGAAACAGGCACTGTGGGCTTTTCAAATTACAAGCTAATAAAGATTTCATGGAATTTTAATGTTTTAGTATTTAGTTTATCTCACAGAATAAATGTTTCACAGTGTCAGACCTCTCAATACTAACTTACTTTTTGAAATCCATCGATCATTCTCAACACTGTTCATACTTCTCCCCCAGGTGACCAGTGAACAGCAATCCCCTTATCTGTGATTTCACTTTTCACTTACACTACAAGCCACAGTCCAAAAACACTAAGTGGAGAGTTTCCTACTGTAAGACCATATGCACATAACTGACAAACTGTAATCATTCTATTACTAGTATTTTACTTGAACCTGTGACTATGTCTGGTGTAAACAGGAATCACGAGCCGGGAATACAGCTCACTACTAGAGCATTTGCCTAACAAGCACAGAGCCCTGGGTTCAAACCCCAGCTCTGTAAAAACAACAACCCCACATAAATAGGGCTCAGTGGTAAGTGTGGTTGTAGCTTCAGGCAGCCACAGAAACAGAACTCCCTTCAGATAACGACCGGACGATTTCTACCCTTTCCCAGCTCACCATCACACCTGCTTCTTTTGCTACCTTTCTCTCTTAGGAGAATTTTTTTTTAATTTTTACTTATTATTTTATGTGTGTGCATGTATTGCCTGCAAGTAGGTAAGTGCACCCGTGTCGTGCAATGCCTGTCAGATCCTTTGGAACTGGAGTTATAGGCAGTTGTTAGCTGCCATGTGGGTGCTGGGATTTGAACCTGGGTCTTCTGCAACAACAACCAGTGTTCTTAACTCCTGAGCCATCTCTCCAGCCCCTCTGGGAAAATTTTTTAATCAAAGTGTATCACTGACATATGCAACCTGCATGCAATCTCTCAACCCCTGGAAACTAGACATTTCCCTGTTCTGAAGGCTTAGCTATTCATCATGAAGTCAAGGACTTAGCCTTTTGATTTCAAGGTCTCTTCCAGTCCCAAGTCTGACCAGGCTGGAAGGGTAAAACAGTGTTATGAGCGTATGTCCTGCACCTGGATCCCCTAGGTCAGCTCACCACTCTAGGTTGTTCTGGGTCCCTTTTACCTCCCCCTCTCCATGTAATTTCCTACTTTTTCTTTTTTCATGCTTTAAAAATATATTTTTAAAAATTTTATTATTTATATAATTTTATGTGCATATGTGTTATACCTGCATGTGTAAGTGCACCCATGTTGTGCAGTGTCCGAGGAGGTTAGAAAATGATGTCGGATCTCCTGGAACTGGTGTTATGGATGGTTGTTAGCCACCATGTGGGTGCTGGGATTTGAACCTGGGACCTCTGCAAGAGCAGCCAGTGCTCTTAACTGCTGAGCCATCTCTCCAGACCCTTTTTTCATGTTTTGAATTACATTTTTATTGATTTTGTATGCATATGTGTGGATGCACACATGCCACAGCAGGTTTGCGGAGGTTGGAGGACAACCTGTGGGAGTAGGTTCTGTCCATCAACCATGTACGTGTCAGGGATCAAATTCAAGTTATCAGGCTTGTCGGTAGGTGTCCTTACCCTCTGAGTCATCTTGCTGACCCTTTTCTTGGTTTTGTGAGACAGGGCCTCAAGCATATGATATAGCTGAGGTGCTAGGACTACAGATGTGAACCACCATACCCTCAAGCTTCCTTTGCATGCTTACCTGAAGGGAGGTCTGTTGTCTTTCGGGGATAGAGACCTGCTCTCCTTGGTCCTTTCTGTTCTTGTTCATACAAGTGCACATCTGGTTTAGGCAAAAGTATTCAGACTGTGAGTGGAGTTTTCTTTTGGGTGGTGTGGGGCAATGTCTTTGTTTTTTTGAAACAGGATTTCACTGTACAATGCAAGCTGGCTCTGAATTCTCCCATCCTTCTACTTTAAGCTTCTGAATGATGGGGTGCTCTACCAGGACTGGTGGCTGTATGGGAATGAGTCAGGTTGGCCCCATGCTAAGCCTCTCAGCATCAGAGGGGAACAACAGGCTACTTCCCCTGTGCTTGCTTTAAGAATATTAATCTAGGAGCTGGAGAGATGGCTCAGCAGTTAAGAGCACTAGCTGCTCTTGCAGAGGACCCAGGTTTAGTTCCCAGCACCCACATAGTGGCTAACAACTCCAGTTCCAAGGGATCTGACACCCTCTTCTGATCTCTGCAGGCACCAGGAAACATATTCATAAACATAATTTTTTTAAAATGCCAGACATGGTAGTGCACACCTTTAATTCCAGAGGCAGGTGGATCTTTGTGAGAATGAGGCCAGCCTGGTCTTCATAACAAGTTTGGACTAGCTGGGGCTACAGGGAGACCCTGTTTCAAACAGAACAAAATGAAACAAACAAACAAAAAAAAACACAAAAAGTTAATCTAGGACCTTTAGTTGCAGAAAGGGACATTCAAAAGAGCAATTTCTAGTAAAGTCCCTGGTATACAAGAGTGACTTAGTGAATACTGGTAGGATGAATACACAGGTGTTTTCTGAGATAGGGTTATAGGCTTTTGCCAACAAGCCATGTATAAATGGCAAACTTGCAAATTTTCACAATAGTACGATGGTGAGCAAAGTGTTGTCTTAGAGTGGGGAGGCAGCTCAGTAGGTAAAGTATTTGCCTTAAAAGCACGAGGACCTGAGTTTGATACCCAGAATCCACGTAACAAAAGCCAGGTATGGTGGTCCAGTGCTAGGTGGCTCACTAGCCACTCAGTTTAGCTAAATCAGTGAGTTCCAGATCAGTGAAACCCATCTCAAACAACCAAGGTGGATGGTGTTCTGAGGAATGAGATCTGAAGTTGACCTCTGGCCTCCAAATGCAGACACACGCACCTTATACACAATGAACATGCACACACATAAGCAAAAGCTATCATCTCTGTCTTCTAAGTTTTTTAAGACAGGGTTTCTTGTAGTTCAGGTTAGCCTTAGACTTGCTACACAGCCAGGTATTGCCTTGAACTCTTGGTCCTCCTGTCTCCACCTCTGTGTCCAGCTCTTTACACAAGTTTTCGTTTCTTTGACCTTTACCCCTGAACTTGGTGATTCAGATCTTTTACATCTAAAAGGTAGAGAACTAGGGACTAAGTGATCTACCACCTCAGGAAACCCAACCTAGGGCTAGATGAGAGGGGAGCGGCTGAGGAACCACTGCTCTTACCCACAAATGCCAGGTTTTTGAAGGTTTCTAACATGACTTCCTGGTAAAGGGCCTTCTGCTTGGCATCCAGACATTTCCATTCTTCCTGGGTGAAACTGACTGCCACATCCTCAAAGGTGACTGGTACCTGGAATTGGCAGGGCAGACTTAGTATGTAAAGACAGAAACTTACATACAGTCTCAAGATTTAGAGAATTCAAACCTAAGAGAAAAATATTACCATGAAAGGAAGAAACAAGTGAGGGTGAACACAAAGCCCGTCGCTGTGCTCTACAGGAAGGATGGACACAGAAAGAGGCAGCAAAGTGCGGCAGGAAAAGAAACACATTGGAGAGATGGCTCAGCAGTTAAGAGCACTGGCTGCTCTCGCAGAGGACCCGGGTTCAATTCCCTGAGCCTACAGGGCAGCTAACAGCTGTCTGTAACTTCACTTTCAGGGAATCCAATGCCCTCTTCTGACCTCCGCAGGCACTGTATGACACTAGTGCACCTACACTCATGGAGGCAATACACTCATAAAAATAAAAATAAATAAAAAAGAAAGAAGCAAAAGAAAATTTGTTGCCACTCTAACAGATTTCAGGAAGTAAATCTAACAGATTTCAAGGATGCCAGGGTGATATGGGAGATGGAGAAAATTTCCCTTTTTTCTATTGTTTGGCCTGGGACAACCTGAAATCCCACTAGATCCACAGGCAGGGAATGAATGAAAGATATCAGAGTCCCCGGCCTGGGACTTCCTTCCTCCTACCTGGATCTTCTCACAGTCACTGTTACACACCACCAGTAATCTCATACATGTGTGTGTGTGTTATGATGTGTGTGCACATGTGGAGGCCATAACTCAATGTCACGTGTCCTCTTCTATTGCTCTCTACCTTTTTAACAAGTCTCTTATTGACTCTGGAGCTACCAGTTTGGCAAGATTACTGGCCCACAAACCTTGGAGATTATTCTGCTGTGCCCAGTTTTTGTTTTAATGCAGGCACTATGGATCCATTCTCAGACCCTCATGCACATGCAGCAAGTACTTCACACACTGAGCCATCGTCCCACACCCTTCACCAGTAATCTCCTTTCTGGGCATCTGCAGAGGCTACCACACTGCCCACCCCAGAGAGCAGCACATCTGCAGTGGCATCCCTACCTGGTCTGCTCCCCTGGACTCCCTGTGACTCTACCTCCCAGGAACTGGGCAAAGGGTGTGTCCTACAAGGGCCCTGGGGTTTGCTATTGCTTCCTGCAATAATGTAACTACTCCAAAAGAGGCTATCTCTCTTGACTGCTCCAACTGTGTAAATTCTCCTTTTCTACAACTGAATCTTAGCTCTCTCGAAGCCTAGGCTACAGAGTTCAGGGCCCTGGTTACCTGTGTTTTAGATGTCATTGTCTGGTAATGGCAGGCTGGTGCTAGGTATCTGACTTCTGTCCAGACTGCTTCTAGACATCATTGGCTGGAGACCACTTTTGGAAATCTGGGTCAAAGAGAAATACAGTATTAGCAAAAGGGAGAGTAACATAAAACACAAGGGCTTCCTTAACTCCAAATTACTCCCTGCACTATGCCACTGAGTCTCTGCCCTAATGCCACATGAGGCAATTAATTAGTGGTTCCATCTTAAGGAACACCAAATACAGAAATGCTAAGTTACTTATTCAAAGACACCTGGATCCATGGAAGAGTTAGTTCTGAAGTCCAGACTCAGTACCACTGAAAAGTATATGTTCAGGGAATAGGCCTGGATTTGTCACAAACCACTGAGTTTATCTCTTCATCCTCTGAGTTGATTCCATTGGAAACGTGAATAAAAATCTCTCCCAGGACTGAAAATATATAGATTCTGTAACATGAATGCATGTGTGTGTGTTCTCCTAGGGCTCAGACCTGGTGGCCCATACTAAGCAAGTGTTCCACCTCTGAGCTATACCCTCAACCCTATGATTTGGATTTT